GTTACCCCCATTTTTTATTTCAGAAAACATTTTCTTATAGTGCAATGCACTATCTGACCGATTTAAAAAAAATTCTGTAATGCAAAAAAAAATTTATTTCGAAAAACTATGTTTATAAATTTTTAAAAAATTTGGCATTACAGAATTTTGTTAAAATTGGTCAGATAGTGTATTGTACTATAAGAAAATGTTTTCGGGAATAAAAAATGGGGGTAACCGACCTTTTTTTAAAGTAAAATGCGTTCAAAGCCAAAATATCGGCCATCTTGAATCGTCATTGTTGCCATAGCAACAGTGGTGACGTCACTTTTCCGAGCAATTTTCGACTGTTTGATTGTCGCTGTATATATAATATACAAATTTCGATTTGTAAAGAGCATCATCTCTTCAAAAAGGTGATCTAGTTTACGCATTTTCAACATTTCTATAAACTGTAGCGAGCCACCTTAAGCCGATATCTCAGCCTCTCAGGTTAATCAGGTAAACAGCACCAATGCTTGAACAGTCATGCATATACTATACTTTTGTCTTTTCGTGCAATTTATCATGTATTAATACTTAGTTAATACTTTTTATAGAACTTCTAGTGAGTTATAACGATGAAGACATTTACCTGTTTGATGCAAATTCCAGGTTTGTACCTTCATATACATGTAGTTGATATATGCATGCGTGTACCCATGTAGATTTATAATGTGTACGTGTGCTAGCATGCAATTGTTTTTATCTCAGACATTAAGACTTAATTTCATTGGATTAAAGATTTTGTGTTTCTTTGAGCTTTAAACAATAAATTTGCCCTGGGGGCTTGGAATATGATATTACGGGTACATACGAAGGCGATATAAATTTATATTGGTATCAAATCTTACGACATAAAGCAAGAAAAATTGGGGAAGTGTTGTTGCTTTGGTTTCATTTATAAAAATGTGTTAATATTTTAAAACAATACATTTTTTTGAGATTGGGCATTTGACACATGTCCAGTCATAAAAAGCTTTGATCGGAAAAAAGGTAAAATTTTGCCGGACATGCAATCTCCGATGACCCATCATGACCGACTCTAATTTGCACACCTGCACACCAAAGCTTTTGCGCTTGATTTGAACTCGTGCATACACACATCCGTACGAGATAAAAGATCCCTTCGTCATCAAATATAATTAAAGTAAAACTGTTATTAAAAATGTCTTAATTAAATGAAACTTCACGTTATATTACTTGGTATTACAGTGCATCAAAATAGACGTGCTTAGTTTCTTGTCTATTTCAGGTCTTCAGCTTACTATTCGACGCGCGGTTGCCATAGTTTCATATTAATTTTATATTTTGTAGCTATATCATATTCAGGGGGAGTTTCTGGGTACGTTTTTGCAGAGAAGATTGAGTTTACCTAATCAGCATGGGGTCTGGGGCGGCTCTCTCTTGTTCAAACTATTAAACGCAATATGCTTGTTCAAACTATTAAACGCAATATGCGTAACACGTATAATCTTATAGTTTCGTGTTCCAATGATTTTGAAATAACGCCAACTATTGCTCAACATGCACTAGCTGCGCGCAACTGTCAAAACAAGATGCATGCATATGTTCGATATATGTTGAAAAGAATTACGGGGGTATGTTCAAGTAAATTATGAAGAAAGGAAACATCGAACATGGCACGATTTACGTACACTCTATGTGATATACAGGATATCAGTGTTCATTCTCCTATTGGCATAAAAGCAATGTCATTACAAGCTGCCGGTCTGGCGATGGCAAATATCGTTACATCTCTCTTTGGAACACTGGCCAACGCGGTCTCGTGATAATGGCGTACTGTCGTAATCCTCGTTTACGAGCAATTCAGGATACGATCTTATCATCTTCTTGCTGCTTGCCATCACAGAAATTGGCGTAACTGCTTTTATTCAACCGATATTTGTGATCGCCACCTTAAGTGGTTTGCTGGGAAACCATATAGTTGAATTTTATGGGGACTTCAAAATATATTATCGTTCTTGTTCTTGGAACTATCACTGCAAACTTGCAAAGTTATATATCCCTGGACCCTGGCTTATCTGATATCGATATATGGTAGTATAATTACAAAGTCCTGTTTAAATTTAGTGTTTGTGTTTTCTTGGCTTTTCATTTTGCTAAAAACTCTGACTATTTTTGAACACTATACAACTTTGTTTTATACGGAGCGCTTTGTGTTATTACCTTAGCAATCATCACTGTAGTTTTTAGCGCACTGTGATGACGAATCATTGCAAATCATGGCTTGGCGGTGCATGCATGTTACCCATTTTAGCTGAGTCTGCTTTCTTTATGGGCTCTATTCTGTGACAGCGATGTCTTACATATTGAAGCATTTACATATACAATGAGATGTCAGTGGTGCATGTTTTATAATTATGTGTTTGTTATTGTTAAACGAAATTTTTTGAAGTTGAGCGTGATGATTATATAATGCTATGCCGGAAATAAACACACGCTGCATGCTTGTTCAAAATAACATACTTTGGTATGTTTGGACAAGTGAATATAACATATCCTACAAGTTGATTGGTCAGATTTGACGTATTAAGCTGTTATATTCACCTATACAGGTGAATATACAAAACTGAAATTTGCAAAGTGGCGGCTAGCCGTTTTGTGGAAGTTACTGATAAAGAAATAATCGAAATTAAAATAAATTCAGTCCCAAAAAACACAAAAGACGTTCCCCGATAATAACCTCGCCTTCGGCGAATAATTGTTAAATATTCTATAATATGGCCAAATAATTAATAAATTTTTAAAACATCTAGCTTCACGCTCCACTATTAATGAAAAGAACCGCTAAACTTATGAATAATCTTCACAATATTTATTACTTCTGACGTATAGTATAAATATTTAAATACCAAACATGCGGCAAACTTAAGGTCTCTATTAAATAAAATAAATTAAAGGCCTGTTTATACACTTGCAATTTTTGCTGCGATTATTATCCCCAAGTTCTGGTTTATAGCCATGCATGCACATGTTATTTAATTATGGATAGTAGATTTTGAGCCCTCGGCTTGACCACGGACCGTTTTTAGGCTTATACATTAGTCTAGACCAAAATTCAGCGATAAAATTGCATGTGTAGACCGCGGCCTTAAATTAATGACACTTTTGAGTTTATTAACTTGCATGCTCGTATAGCTTTAATGAAACGAAGTGATAATTAAAATCTACTGAAAAGTCAATATTTAATAAACAGAAAGCGCTTTACACCTCATTAAATATGGAACGAGCTGCTGGATATTTCGATATTTATTTCGAGAAATTAAAAATGCATGCATTATTAGTGAATTGCGTGTTGGTATGATATAGTGCAGAAGAACTACGAGAGCGTATGTTACTACATATATACTGGAGTAAAATTCGGAGCGCATTTGGAAAAAAATATCGAGTATGGCAGGATTTTCATTATGTGATATAGGCGATAAAAGTGTTAGTTTTCTATATTTCCCTACTGGAATAAAAGCAATGTCATTACAAGCTGCTCTGGCGATGGCAAATATTGCCATGTCTCTCTTTGGAACACTGGCCAACGTTTTCGTCATAATGGCTTACTATCGTAGCGTTCGTCTGCGAACAATCCAGAACACGATGTTCTTGCTGCTTGCCATCACAGACGTTAGCATAACTGCTTTTGCACAACCGGTACTTGTGGTCGCCATTTTACGTGGTTTGCTGGGAAACCATAGTTGCATTTTATGGGGACTTGATACAATATTATCGTTCTTGCTCGTGGAACTATCACTGGTAACAATTGTTATTCTTAGCTTGCAAAGTTATATAACCCTGGCTTATCCATATCGTTGGCAAAGTATAATTACAAAGTCCCGTTTAAATTTAGTGTTTGTCTTTTCTTGGCTTCTCATTTTGCTAAAAACTCTGACTATATTTCAAAACTACAACTTTGTTTTATACGGAGGACTTTGTGTTATTACCTTAGCAATCCTCACTGTGGTTTTTACCTGGTCTTGGACATATAAACTCGTTGCTCGGCATCGAAGGGCAATTCAAACTACTCAAACTCCTTCAAGCAGTCAAAATGTGGCCCAAAAGAAGATCTTGCGATCAACAATAACCTCATTCGCCATTATTTTAAGTCTTCTGGCATGCTACTTTTTAGACATGTGCTTTTTTATCTTCGAAAATTTTTTAAATGCTTCGAGACTTGGTGATAATACGTACGGAATTTTATGGTCATTGGCAATGACATTAATGTACCTAAACTCTCTGCTGAATCCCTGCCTTGTGTTTTGGCGAAGTACTTGTTTCAGAGAAGCCGTAAAGAATATTTTCCAACAGACAAAATAGAAATATTGAAATTGATATATGCATGTGAATGTATAGTATCATTTATGATTTCTTCCCCAGAAATACCGGATCCTAGATTATATATTCAATATTTTTTTCTGTCGTTTTGAATTTAATTTTATTATTTTTTTAATCTAAATGATAAATTTTACATGTGCTTAATCATGAACATACAAAATAAATACGAAAACTTATATTTATTGCATATGATTTGCATAACATCCTTCTGGTATAAGCATACATCAGCAAACACGAAAACGAGACTCTGTAGCCAAACGTATAATGATGACGAGAAATCCCGACCTGCATGACATGGCGATAGGTCAGCAATGTGAATTATGAGATCTGAAATAAATTTGAGATTAACAGCGAGGGGAACGTAGAGGAACGAGCCGGGGTATATGAGGTTGATTGTTCTATATGTATATTTTTTTAATTTATGATTTTTTTCCTCAGAAACGATATAAAACCTTGAGACATATTTACCACTATAAATAAATCTTTTCTTCCAAAATACTCATCTGTCGTTCTGATTTTAATTTTCTCATTGTCACACGTTGAGTCTGAATTTAAAATACTTCATAAATTGTCCAAAATTGTTTGACCTAAATCGTATATTTCATTCCAAATTGGTTCACAACGTAAATCATTACAAAGAAACTTCTCATTGAAATAGAGCTAGTCAGCCATGCCACATAGTAATTGTAACATGATCAGGTATACCCTCTAATAATTGCGACGTCTAGTTAATCACGTCAAATATTTAAGGCAGACTTCACGCTGTTTGTGGTTAAAATATTTCAAAAACCGAGCAAGAAAAATTGAGAAGAATTTCGAAAGGTAAAAGTTGTAGAAGTTCCTTCAAATGAGACAAACTTAATTTTTATTGCCATTTTATACATTTAATATTCATCAGCCTTCCCCACCTGAACGACCTAGTTTATTAAAGCATTTTCTTGTGACAAGAGTTTTATTGCTCTCAAACATATTATACTCATCAAACAGGATATATTTATAATAAAATGAATATAGGGCTTACATGTATATTTAAAAATGCAAAAAGCGCTTTACACTTCATTAAATGGAACGAGCTGCATGCTGCATATTCTCGAGTTACATGATATAGTCATTGCATGTTAGTAGGATAAGAATTACGGGAGTATATGAATATATATAGGAGTAAAGATCTGAATAAATTGTAAAGAAATAGAAACATATGAGTATGACAGGATTCTAGGCCAGCGCCGTAGCACTAAAGTATTTCTTTTCTATATTTCCCTACTGCATGGTATCAAAGCAATGCCTTTAGAAGCTACTCTGACGATGGTAAATATCGCCATCTTTTTGTTTGGAACGTAATTCGCCAACGGTCTCGTCATAATGGTTTACTACTTGTCTGCGCATCACAGATATTGGCGTAACTGCTTTTCTTCAACCGACCGATAGTTGTGGTCGCCGGCCATCTTCAATGGGGAACCATAGTTGCATTTGGGGGACTTGAAACCATATTATCGTTCTTGTTCTTGGAACTATCACTGATAACAACTGTTATTATTAGCTTGTAGAGCTAGTTAACTCTGACTTACCTGTATCGTTGGCCGCAAAGTATAATTACAAAGTCTCGTCTGAATTTAGTGATTGTCTTTTCTTGCACACTGTTATGATCTAAAGTGAGATCTTGTGGTGGTACGTGTGGAATACCAGTTTTTTCTTTCAAGTTTTAGAGTAAAGAATACTATATATTTTTGGATACTGGTCCCGTCATTCTATACTCTACAGACTACACAGTGTCGTACACCAGTACTTGTCGAATTAGAAGCTGCTCTGACGATGGTAAATATCGCCATCTTTTTGTTTGGAACGTAATTCGCCAACGGTCTCGTCATAATGGTTTACTACTTGTCTGCGCATCACAGATATTGGCGTAACTGCTTTTCTTCAACCGACCGATAGTTGTGGTCGCCGGCCATCTTCAATGGGGAACCATAGTTGCATTTGGGGGACTTGAAACCATATTATCGTTCTTGTTCTTGGAACTATCACTGATAACAACTGTTATTATTAGCTTGTAGAGCTAGTTAACTCTGACTTACCTGTATCGTTGGCCGCAAAGTATAATTACAAAGTCTCGTCTGAATTTAGTGATTGTCTTTTCTTGCACACTGTTATGATCTAAAGTGAGATCTTGTGGTGGTACGTGTGGAATACCAGTTTTTTCTTTCAAGTTTTAGAGTAAAGAATACTATATATTTTTGGATACTGGTCCCGTCATTCTATACTCTACAGACTACACAGTGTCGTACACCAGTACTTGTCGAATTAGAAGCTGCTCTGACGATGGTAAATATCGCCATCTTTTTGTTTGGAACGTAATTCGCCAACGGTCTCGTCATAATGGTTTACTACTTGTCTGCGCATCACAGATATTGGCGTAACTGCTTTTCTTCAACCGACCGATAGTTGTGGTCGCCGGCCATCTTCAATGGGGAACCATAGTTGCATTTGGGGGACTTGAAACCATATTTTCGTTCTTGTTCTTGGAACTATCACTGATAACAACTGTTATTATTAGCTTGCAAAGCTATAGTTAACTCTGACTTACCTGTATCGTTGGCCGCAAAGTATAATTACAAAGTCTCGTTTGAATTTAGTGATTGTCTTTTCTTGCACACTGTTATGATCTAAAGTGAGATCTTGTGGTGGTACTTGTGGAATACCAGTTTTTTCTTTCAAGTTTTAGAGTAAAGAATACTATATTTTTGGATACTGGTCCCGTCATTCTATACTCTACAGACTACACAGTGTCGTACACCAGTACTTGTCGAATTACCTATTTTATACCAAATAAGATATCGTATAATAACCATTTTGTTCCTTTAACTTTACCAAAATGTTTTTGCTTGTATGATAACAAATAAACGAGAGGCAACGATTGCATGAGTTTCACATCGAGATGTTCATTTGAGTTTAATCAAGGGGAGTTCTATATAATTAGCTTTCACTTTATATCATGTTCCCTTCCAGATGCTTACCTTGGCTACTAGTCTGTTTGTCCTCTCAAAAGAAGGTGTGCACATATTCACGAGTAAAAAGTTTTAAAAGGCGTGACCATGCATGGTTTGCATGGTGTCATCCGCTTCTATATGCGACTTTTCTAAGCTGCGGGGTAATTATACCAACGAAAATCCGAATCATTACAGATAAATTTCTGTTTGTCTGTGTATAGGGCTGAAGTGTTGTGGAGGGCTGAAGTGTTGTAGAGCTGAGTAATTACTCTTTCTTTTTTCTTTATAGTTCCAATGCTAAGTATATTCATAGATATAAAGGCCATAGGAACAGTATGACAGGTTAGTTGTATACCGTTTCGATTTAAGTAGCATGCATGTTTATAACAATCCAATCTTTCTGAATTAATCCCATTGAAATACTTAATACTGGCCATTGATTTTTTTATTAAAACTAGGACTGAATTAAAATTTACAACTTTAGATATAGGTCGGACAATTGTTTCACAAGTTTTGCTGCTTTTCATTAGCTTAATTAAAAAGTAATTAATTTGGCAGTTCCGTATACCCAGATTTCGTTCAACATTTTGTGTTGCCTACTGATGTATGCCATATGCATGTATACGTCAGCAAGAGAAATTCGGCGAATTCATGTCACTGTATACTGATTTCTGTGATAATATTAACTGTTCCTTGGTTAAAAGTCTGTCAACCATTTTCTGTTTTCAGTCAAAGGAGTGAACTTTTATGGACCACGAAGTGAGTTTGTTGTTAGTGGCAGCGATTGTGGCCATGTCTTTCTATGGGACAAGGAAACTGAAAGTATTGTTCAGTTACTTGAAGGAGACGTGACAGGAGTGGTGAGGACTAAATTATGAATACCACATAGAATGTCCATATTATTTTTCTTCTACATTACTCCAATATAGTGTTTACCAAGCTGTACATACTTTCGAGGACGTTAGCTTTCGAGATGACACGGGGAATATACTCTCCTGCAAATACACTGTTCGTAGCGGCGATGTTATATATACTTCGTCAAATTGCATGCATATTTATTTCAAGAGAGTAAACAAAAAAATCAGTCGAGAAAATGTTACATGTCAATTTGCGTAAAATACCATGTCAGTATAGTTTTCCGTGTTTAATTATTTCGAGGAATCCTGTAAAGGCTGTAAATGGAGCAATAAGCTAGCTCTGTGGGCATAAACAAATAAACAAATTGACAGCTCATCCAGTGCACTAGCCAGTGGTGTGCTTAAATTTCCTCAGACTTATACAAAGTACAGGACAAAAGCGCTGTAATCTATTTTCATGCAGGGGGTGGGCATTTTCATATTTTTGCATATATATTTCTTTAGACATCCTCTGATAGGGGAAAATGAACCATTTAAATAAAAATGGTATGAGAAAAATAATTTAATGTGATGAAATGCTGGGGTTTCAGAATGATTTGAAGTAGGCGGTTGTACCAAAAAAGCAGCCGGCTGTGACTGATAGTTAAAAAATCGCGCGGGGAGGGGAGCGTGCCCTCGCATGGAAATTTAAAAAGTTTTCGCCGCAAATTAACAATCAAATAATATAGAATAAATAAAAAGACAAAGTACAACTGTTAACATGTTAGACTTAGATGTCATTTGCAAAGAAAAATTTAGAACTGCACACATAGGGGTGTTACGAAGGCAACGGTTGTTTGACTGGGGGGGGGGGGTCGAAGGATTTTTTACCTACATAAAGGGGACAGAATAATGGTGTGGTTGGGAGGGCGAATTGGAGAAAGGCCAGACAAACTCGATTTGGGGTGCGGGAGCTAGGGGTGTTCCCCAAAACAATTTGAATCTAGAGGCTGTTAAGTTCTGGCAAAGATTTGTTTTACCCAACCACTCACAAAAACTGTTTCAAAACATGTAACTGGGAGTCATGGATGTTCAATATATAACAACCTTAAATTTGCATTTGAGACAGCCAAGAATATTAGGTTCTCCCACTCTAATCTCTTTTGGGGAGCTTCGCTCGCCCCAATTTTACCTTCTTTTCCATTACCCCAGCACGTAAGTGATTTGTGAGGAAAATAGGAGGGTCTGGAGTCCTCCCCGAGAAAACGTTTATATTTTTGATGCTCAATTAATGACAGCATTTCTGGAATTTTCTGGAGCATCCACAAGGGTAACGAGTAAATGAGAAGACTGTTTTAATTAAGGCTATTTTTGTTAGTTTGGTGACTGCACATTTGTGTTTTAAGAACTGCACAAATGGGTTTAGAACTGCACATTTTGTGTAGAACTGCACGTTAAAATAAACCCTGGTCATTTGCATTTATACTTGTAAGTGAAGTCATTTGCATTTATACTTGTAAGTGACAATGTCAATACTTTAATGTGCTACTAGTAGTTTAATTTTTACAGCTGCATGAACAGAATGATAATGTACACTACAGTAATAGTATTAATTTATGAGTCCGAAATCATTAATCAAATGATGTTATACTTATGTGCGTAATGAACTTCACTTCACCACTTCTTCTTTCTTTTGCTATGTTTGGTACTATGTATTATAATTTATCTTATTGATCTTCCAAAATAAGTGATGTTTTGCTTGAATTCAGGGCTTGAATTTTATCGCGGCAATTGCCGTAGAGGGAGAACAAAATGCCATGGATCATTGCGGCAACGACTGCATTTTTTTGCCGTATAGTATATAATTTTTAAACTGTTCACTGTGCATTACTATTTTGATACTTGAATTCAGATGTTGATCAAATCATCCGTAAATTACTATTTTATAGTCTCAGTTTTCTTTGAAAAAAAACACACTAAAGAAATACGTAAACATGTTTCTAGCTTGTCAGCAATCCAAAGTAACACTATTAAAATTAAATTTTTATTACAGTAATTTGAAAAAATGCCGTGGAATTGTGGAAACGAACAAAATTGCCGTATAGGCAGCTGTAACGTTCTACGGCAATTTTTAACGCCATTGCCGTCGATTGATTTCAGGGAAATTCGAGGCCTACTTGAATTCCAATTGGAACATAACAAACATCGTGTTGGTTCGTTTGTACCTTTGTATATAAATTTTTTCCTGTGACCAGACGAAAAGTAGCCGGCGGTAAAAGTTCAAGTAGCCGGCAGAACTCCGCCGGCTTATTCTGAAACCCCTGGAAATGGTGTATGAAACGTGTCATGTTGCTCCTCTTTGGTTCTGCAGTATTTATTGTATATATATAGCGTAAATGTTAAAATGTGACAATTTTTTTTCAGGTAATATATACTGGGTAGGAAAAATCACGAAAATGCCTTCGGAAATAAATTCCAAGGAATCAAAGTTTGGGCACCCGTCAAAAATTTGAATATCCTAGCCAGTTAAAGATCCAAGAAAACCTTGCCTGTATATAGACCGATTCGAAAACTAGGCTATACTCAGGCTTGTTTGCTAAATCACATAGCCTATCGAAGGGAAGATGGGTGTGAAACTCATTAGAATAACAATATAACTCATTATCTATGTTTGTCAACGTTTATTCATAAATTTGGTCCTTCACCGTCACGTGTGTATTGTATTCTTGCCCAACTAACCAATAGCAATGTTTTAGGAAAGTCACCTATCCGTGACTCGAACAATAGGGAAACTGGGAATTGCTATTGGTGGATTTGGTAAAAATGCAATACACACGTGACGGTGAAACGACCAGATTTATGAATAAACGTTGACTAACATAGATAATGAGTTATATTGTTATTCTAATGAGTTTCACAGCCATCTTCCCTTCCCTCCCTCTAGGACAAACTTCGGTATTTTTAAGACGTAATTTCTCAAAGAGAATTGGAATTTTATGGCATTATATTTATACTCTGTAAAAGTGTTAGTCTTGAAATATTCTATAAGGTGGCAGTGCATGCATGATAACCGTGTTTAAAATTAATTTCGAGAGAAAAAAAGACGACAGCCACTTCTCTAATTGGTGTATAGAGCTGATCACCACGCGACGACGATAATTTTTTAATGCACGACAACTTTACTTGCATGAGTGAAATCATGGTATAGCAATATAGCATATCCTTTTATTGCACACTTATTGCACCTTGTAATTGATTGTTTTTTAATATGCTTAGGTGAATTGTTTGGAGCCACATCCTTACCACCCATTTTTAGCCACAAGTGGTCTTGATCATGATGTCAAAATCTGGACGCCGACCTCGAATGAGCCAGTCGATTTTGACAAAATTGAATCGGTAATATTGTTACAAGAATATTCCATATTTTTCATTTTTTGCTGATTTTAGTATATTTTCAAACACAGTCGAAGCCTCGTTTCGAGGCTTGTCAAACGTAAATATGGTGGTACTTTGCCTTCCCCCCACGGCGGCTAAACCTGGGCGGCCAAATGCCATTATACGTTGATATCAGATAGCAAAGTCAATAGCGGCAATAGTAAACGTGACAAAAGGTTTTTCATGATGGGCGCAACTTTGATACATTTAACTAGCCTAACGCATTTATTTAGACAAAGATTGGACTCTTTTAACAAAAAAAGTAATCTTTCGTATTCTCTCATGGTAGAAGACTGTTGTAAATGCATACATGTATTTTCTAAATTGGCAGGTTGTTCTTGCGAATGATAGAGAAAGGGATGAAGAAAGAAGACGGCCAGATTATCCATTAAATGGAGATCTGCTCAGGTTTATGGTCAACCACATTGCTAGACGGGTAAGTGGAAGTTTCTAGTGTTCTTTTAAAAAAGCCCTTGAGGTGCAAGGTTTGCAAGTTTTGACGCAAGATTTTAATATAAAAATCGTGCGATCACAAAATTTGAAACTGTGTCTGTGCAGGTTTGCCTAACGGGAAAACAGGCTTGTAGTTTAGGAAGCATGTATGACGGCAACACGACGACGACGACGGCAACCAATACAATGAGTCAATGAAAAGAAATAAATAATGAGTTTCAGACGTAGTCGTCGCTGTGTTTACAACGGCAATCACAGATTTTCACGTCTTTTATACAACGCTTGCATTTCAAGCCGTAACAAGTGCAACTTAAAATTCGGTTCAGTAGAACTCTTCCCAAACATAAAGCCAATGTTTTCAACTTCTTATACTGTATTAAATTCATACGAATTATAATATACGACAAGTTTTTTTTACTATCATTTATTTGAAGGAATTTGTTTTGGCCGTCGTCGTCGTTTGGAGGGGTGGACATTTTGTTTGGGGGGGGGCTAATATTGGAGGGGGGTAGCACCCCCTGCACCCCTCACAAAATCCGTCTATGGTGCCAACTAAGACCTTTTGAATGCTAGTTAAAACCCACGTTAGAACCCCAGTTGAAAACCATACCAGATATTCACGCCAATTAAAACCCATACCCTTATTTTACCAGTATAGCAATCTCATATCTCATTATATCATAATTTTGCATGTGTTATAGCGTCTTCGTAGAACTGAGAGTGATGCAGAAGAAGGAATAGACGAAGACGACTCGAGCTCGGAGGAAAATGGTGAACGTGTTCAATGTTATCCCTCGTGATTTTTCAAACAAATATGTATATAATGCCGTAATGCGTGACAACGAAAAGTGGTGGGGAATCAATTTACGTCAATATTTCCTGAAGATAGCATTAAATAGCAGCTAGTATATTGCGTATACGCGTATAGCTACATAAACTCATATTGCATGTGTGTACAGTAGGTATTCAATGCCTATATTTTTGTGTATTTTCTGTAATTTGTAAAATCAAGTTACGCTGAACAAAGGCGAGGTTTGAAGTGGAAAATCCATTATGGTGTCCAATTTTCAATTATCAGTTTTAAGGCCCATTTCCACGGACAGAAAATTTTTCGAAAATATCATTTTTAAATTTGACGTTAAATTTGTGTCGACCAATCACATTTTACATTGGGCCGTTAAGGCCCATTTCTGTATTGGTATCGCTATATACCCACGTATTTCAACGCGCATGCAAACATAATTACTCAAAGAAAACGATAATGTACTTAAACAATGTATAAACTTTTATTTCTTTACAAATATCGTCGAATTATTGAGCCTTTTGAGCGGTAAAAC